TTGGCGCGCGAATTGCGAACAGCGACACGCGGTGTCTTCCGGGTTTGGATCTCGGATGACGCGTTGCGCCGCGGCACCCTTCGCACGGACGTAACAAATCTTATTGTTCGTGGCCCTTTTACGAGATTCTATGTAACGCGACCACCGCTGGATGCTGCGGGGCGAGAAGCCTGAATTATGGTCGCCGCTGCGGGGAGGTGACCATAAAGGTGATTCGTCGCGGTTCTGCAAGTGTCAAAAGTCTGTCCCTAATAGCTTTCCCAACGAGACGAGGCCGGCTTATGTATTATTAATATTTGCCGGGAGTAGTCGCGGACGTTGGTTACTCGGTACACGCGAACATCTAATTTATATACGTTACTCGGCGGAAGGAATTTGTCGTTTGATACGGAATGAAATTTCAGAGATGTTAACCCTGCGTAGGCCCATGTAACTTTAACACTTCCACTGCCAAGTTTTTCCACTAAAAATATTTGAATATTTTCTGATGAGATAAACACGATATTCTGTGAAACTAACTCGACGAAAAATTTCTCAAATTGATGCATCATACAAAGTATAATATTAAATATCGAATTTTATAGTTTTACTGTATGAAATCGTGTGAGTTAGAGTCACCTCTCGAGTGCAAAGGGTTAACACTAAATCTACAGTTCAATTGACCTTTCGTTAATTAATTTAGAATTGAGTTTGAACATCGTTGAATTCATTGCTTTGAAAATGTCTCAGAAACATCTGTTATCTTTTTAATAATTGCAAGAGGAGGAATTTAGCTTGATAGTTTCAGCGTTAAGAATTAGAATCGTGTAAAGGCACGCCATGACTTCAGGATCGTATTGGAGACACCCCGCAACGAAAATGTAGGTGCCTCGGTCACGTGGCGCCGACATATTGCCCGTGTCTCGTGTAGCCGAGTGCTCTGTAACACGACACGTGCCGCTCGAGTGGCCCGCGACGCGATCGCAGTCGACCCTGCTCCCTGTTTAACCATTAGGTACTGTTTACTCGATTTTAAGAGTCAATTTATTCTGCGAGCGGCTGCATCCAATACCGCCGACACCGCAATTTTCCAATAACATCGAGTAACAGACACAGCAACGAACTAGAGGTTACACTAAATTCACGGATACTGAATGTTTTAAACATTCAGTAACAGATTATCAATTAGAGTGACTAATTTCCAAGTTTTAAAAATTTGAACCGTTTCCTGAGACTCGAAGTTCATTTCAAATTTTTCTAAACATGTTTCAGAAAAACAAGAAAACTGAATTGTGCGGATGGCAATTTTCAATGAGATCAAGTTATTAAAAAATTCAGATATCATATTGTGTAATATATTTTAAACAGATAATCAATTCGAATCAAGTTTAATATATTTCAAATGCTCCGGCAAGTAGCAAAGTTGCACAGCTGAGTGTCTCTATAAAAACGAGATTTCTCGTTACCAGTACGCAACGAGTTAAATCGATTTCCTGCAATTATTAATAACTATTTCCTCGATTTACATAGACGAACACGTTCTCTAAGAACAACGGAATAAAGCATAGACCAACGTCCGTGAATCTAGTGTCAAGAGAGCAACGAATAAAATAACATGGAAATGACAATGTCTTTCTAGGAAAAAGAGAAAGTTGCGTTAGCTTTTTCCTCTTTGTAGAAAAAACAAAATGCGTTTCGCAGGGATCGAAAGAGAGATCTGTCGAAATCGGCGGGACCCCGTGGAGATGCAGGTGACACGGGTCACATGAGGAAACAACGCGAAACCGCCCCCTTGTCCGAGGTCCGATCTGCGGCGGAGCAGCTTGGACCCCTTCTCGAGCCTCCCTAAAACACGACTCACTTGGCACACAAGTTCTCTGCGTATAATACGCGGTATCCGATCCCTGCCCCCCGCCCCCCTCGCCGCGTTCGCTGCTTAATTTAATCCAATACAATATGGGTCCCCTCACCTTCGCCGTTCACCGGAGGAAAGGGTGCGTTAAACAGGGGTGGGTGGCTTTTTAAAACTGTGCCGATCTCGATTCACCGTGAAACCTCATCCTATTATGATCGATCTAATAATCCTGATTGGGCAGGACAGGTTTTTTGCTTTCGCGGTGTACCACGAGTCTTGTCCTGCATTCAATTTCGGGAGGGTGTATCGTTCCTACAGAATTTTCTTCGATTTCATCCGATCTTCTTTCCTTAACGCTGAATTTACCAATCAGTTGAAATGACTGTGAAATTTATAGCAACTTGAAGAGCGATTCTATCGAGATTTTAATTGATTTATAACTCAGTTTCGCTAAATCAATTTCTTCGATCATTTGTCAGAGAAACATCTGTTCTTTTTGAATACGAAGGAAGAAATCAGGAATGGGTAATTTCGATCTATCTGGTAGCTTCAGTGTCAGTGTTGCTACTGTGTATCGTTTCTACAGAATTTTCTTTGATTTCAACCGATCTTCCTTTTTCCTTAACGCTATCGAAACTTTAATTGATTTATAATTCAGTTTGCGTATCGCTAAATCAATTTCTTCGATCACTCCTCAGAGAAACATCTGTTCTTTTTGAATACGAAGAAAGAAATCGGAAACGGGTAATTTCGATCTATCTGGTAGCTTCAGTGTCAACGTTGCTACCGTGTGTCGTTTGTTGATGCCCAATTCCGACGAGCTAACTGTTCATTCGCGGACAAAGGAGGCACACCTGTTCCACGATCTTCGGAATCGCCGTTCAGCGTGAATCGAGGATCGCAATCGGCATTATCTATGCGCAGCAGACTGCGACGGCGCCGTCGATAATAAAAGGTACTTAACCGACTTCACCTGTACCCTTCCGTGGGACAGGTACGCGCAGGTCTAAAGTAATTTAATAAATGCGAAGCCAAGTCGCTGGGGGCAGGTGTCGATGGCGCCAGATTTTATATCCCCCAGACTTCTCGTCGCCGGACCGTCTTACGGCGATGACGGTCTCGCTTCTATTCCTCTTTATTTTTTCCGTCCTCTTTGCCTATCGTCGGCAAGCGATCTCAGGTTTTTCTTAATTGCTCGACGATCCGTCGCGCGCACTGGAGAAACTTTACGACCCTCGGCGCGGGATTTGTATCTGAATCTCGAGATTCTTCCTCCTCTGTTGTTCCTCCTCGGCTCGGCTGCGTTTCATTTGTGACGACAGACAGCGAGAGGGGGCGGGAGAATTACGATCGACCGTTTTAGCGACGCGCGCGCGTATTTTCGACTCGACGATTGTCTCTTCAGCTGCGCTGCCCTGTACAGCGCCGGCGATTGATGACGCAAGGGGATTGGTTCTCCGCTGGTTCGACAAGAAAGGTTAAACTTCGTGGGGAAAGGTAAACCGGACGAATGGATTTCGCGAATGACAGAAGAAGACACGCGGATACGAAATACTTGATTTATTCGGATTGCTGACGTGAAACTATGATCGGCGTGAATGGGACGCGGGCTGGTTCCGCGTTTCGAAGGTTCACCTTCGCTTGGTCGTTCTGCTCCGCGCGAGCACCTGCTGATAGAAATTACGAATTAAGAAGAAATCTTCGGATTCACCGATTAACACTAGGTTTACGGAACGCGTCAAATTGACGCATATTGGATTTTAGAAATATTTTGTAAATGTTTACGCCGATTTTGATTCATCACACTGACATGTACCCCAACTACCTACTATCGAATCTCCAGTTTTTACAATCTAAATAAACGAGCATCAATTCTTGTAGGAATAATAGAATGAAGTGGACAATCAATGCCCGTAAACCTAGTGTTAAACTACCAAGCGAATAAAACTCATCCCAGAATTTCTATTCTAAAATTCATTCGCTCAGAAGCCGATTTTCTGATATTTCTTTTCATAACTGAATATGTCGCATAATCATTTCAGAAGCAACATTAATTCTCAATCTTCCGTGGAACATGTGTCTTATCAATGAATAAATTTATTTATTTCAGTAAAACACGATCTTATAATTATTTCAAGTCGTCTCGTTTCCTCGGCAGTTCCATCATCGATTATTCGCCGATAGGGGAGGAGCGAGCGTAACCTCTTGCATTAGAAATTAACCTCTTAGGCACGACGCGCCACTATAGTGGCTCCGTCACTACCAATATATCATACATCATACCCGATTGTATCACTAACTATTAAAGTAAACTGTTAAAGTTAAATTACGTGTATCATATCTTTCAGAAAAATTATAATTTAATTATCAGAAACTTCATTCCAAAATTCAGTCGTGCCTAAGAGGTTAATCCCGACATGGAGTCTTGTCTTTTCACCTATTTCCACCTATTTCACAGACGTGTACACCGATAATATTATCAACAATATCACACAGAATTATATATCCGAAACCAATCTAAAACCATCGACGCGTATAAGCGATTATCGGTAATTCTCGAACAAAAACGTCGTCGCGCGTCTTTCCAGAGCAAGAGGTTGAATTCCAGAATAATCCGGACAATGGTAGATCAATAATTAATTTCCGATTTCGGGCGGTGGTGGTTAGTGTTTGCCGAGGGGATCGGTAGCGCGGCGGTGACCTGTCACGGGCCGCAGCCCCGAGTAGATGGATTTGTCTCGCAGCTGTGTACACTGCTTAATGTAGAAGCCACCGGGGACGGGGATTGCTCCTGTGCTGGTAAGGTGTCCCTAAATCCGAAAGCTAACGATGATATGCTCGTTTCTCCGTCGAAGATCAAGCAGCGTTAAAGCGGTCGGCAAACGGTCGCACGCGTGCGC